CTGCCCCAAAATAATCTGTATTCAATATCTTTAATTCTCCTATTTTCTTGTCACAATTTTCATTACTGTCTATAATTATGTTGAATGCAAATAATATTTTAATGGCTGTGGGTGTATGATAAACATTTGAATATATTATTACCTGTCAATTCCCTTCTCATTTAACTGTATTTCATTGATTTTTATTAAATATGCTGTTCACATTTTAATGTTTCTGGAATCAGGATGTAATACTATTAACATGCAAATAGTATTATAGTACTTTTTTTTGTAGAAAATGTTGTTTTTAAATAGTGGGTCTTACAATCCATGGTGTATTGAAACCAAGCAAACAAGGTATTTCCTGTTCACACTAAATGTGCTTTTAAGCAGAGTATATGTAAAACTTCGTAGCTCCTTTTTAAATTGGTCCAAAATTGAAACCTGTAGTATGTGTTATATTTGTTCCCTGTTTTCAGCATAGATGAATTCTATTTTTCTTTCCTTTCATATCCTTGGGTTTTGCTGTGTGGGGGTGTGACACTTAACCATTTTTCCAGAAATGTTTACCACTAAATCTTGAAAGAGGAGTCTACAAATTTCTGTATGATTTTGTAGGGCTTCCAAAACCCTATAACATCTCTTTCTGCTAAAATTGGTTGGAGTAAGGGGAATATTTGAAAAAGACATTAGGTAAGAAGGCCTATCTATGCACATTAACTGTTATAATGAAAAGCCAAGGAAAAAAGACAAATTTGTAGCCTTAGAATTTCTATGTGGATCACATTTGGAAACCAGTGTTAATTTAATCCATACATAATATCAAAGAATGCTTTAGTGTGTGCTCATCTTTAAAGGAAGTGTTCAGGAAAACATGATACAATAAGCTAAGACTCTAATAACCTCACATTCTGGAACTTCAGTAAAAACAGACCAGTACAACACTTTTATTCTATTTTCACAGCAACTTTTTCTGTAACCTTCTGATTAGGCCAAATTAGACATATGTTCAAGTTTGGTTCTTTTATAAATTCAATCATTATTTTTTAAAAATGCAAAGTCTATATGTTATTTTTAAAACCTGTTTTGCACATTAGAAATAAGACAGAACCAAATATTTATCAAGCTAAGTTAGGGTAGTTTCTTGACCATGAAGAAATAAAAGTCAGAAGCCGCTCTAAGTTTTGTTGTAAGAAGAAAAAATTATACTATTCAAACTAAAATCTCCTGGAACACTGAAAAGACATGTCAATGTGAATATCCCTGACATCCGAAAGAATCTGGATCAAAGGCAAACTTTTGACCAAACAGATGCCAAAAGTAAATTGTCTTCCTAAGACAGGAAGCTGGCCATTTTCTTTCCTTGCTGAATTTGAATTTTCCATGAACTATATACCATGTATTCTATCACACACAAACCCAAATAATAGGATCATACACTGCTATGCTTTTTTTTTATTTTTAAGAGATAGGATCTCACTACATTCCCCAGGCTGGATTCAAACTCCTGAGCTCAAGTGATCCTCTCACCTCAACCCCGAGTAGCTGGGACTACTGGTGTTTGCCACCATGCCCAGCTTTCATACATTCTTGTAAATACATAAACATGAGACTACGGGATTAGAAGTAAAATCTTCATGGAGATGAAGCTGAGGCAAACTGTTATTAAGGACACCTGACCTGCTCTTTTCTGTGACTCAGATTTTTACTAGTACTTTTGTAAAATGGGAACAAGCTTCAAACAGAGGAATTGCACGCCTTGATTTATATTTCCACATAGCTCATTAGGGCTATGTGGAAATATAAATAATTGGCTTATAAGCGACTAAAGATATAATGCTCTAAAATCTTGAAAAAAAATCTTAATTCCCAACTCCTTTGCAGGACCACAGTGCTAATGGAAATAGATGTCTTATTCCCAGACATTATGTCTCCCATCCTGTCAGGTAATGGAAGTGTCGTCTACACACTATTTTCAGCAACAAATTCTCTCAATTTGTTTCCTGCATCCTAAAAGCCTGATCTCTTATCTGCCTTCTTGCACTTTATTCCACTGTACCCAATACTCCTGATTTTCCAGAAACATGGGATTGTGGGCACTGTGAATTGCATTATGAATTCAAGGAATTGAGTTAAATGATATGATTGTGTTGGTTTAAGGCCCATCTTTGAAAAATTATCATGAAATATTTAAGTACACAAACAGTACAGACTATATTAAATCAGCACCTATATTCCCATCACTCACTTTAAGATATGAAACATTACTGACACAATTGAAGCACCTCAACTTTTCTCCCCTGAGGAAATTCCTTGCCAGTATTTGGTCATTTTTTTTTCCCCATTCATTTATTCTTCTACTATATATGCCCCCATAAACATATATTATTTTTCATGCTTCCAATTTTAAATATCATATTCTTCTAAAACATTCTTCTTTGTTCATCTGTGTTTCATCCCTGTTTCATATGCAGCTCTAAATATTTTCTATTGCCATAGTATTCCATTGTATGACTATCATATAAATCTATTCTATTATTGATGGACATTTAGATTGTTTCCAGGTTCTTACTATGTAAAAATAATGGTGCTATGAACTTTGCTATTTGCTATCTCACTGCACCAATGTGAGACTTGCTCTGGGATATGCACCTAGGAGAACTGTTAGATTGCAGGGTCTTCAACATTACTAGATATGCTAGTTGCCTTCCAAAGTGGTTATACCAATTTACGCTCTCATCAGCAGATCTGAGGTCCCACTCCTTCACATTCTGTGAGATTACAGGCCCTTTGTAAGCAGGGCACAGCTTTTGGAATCCTCTGAGATGAGGATACATTCCTCTAACTAGTGCAAGTGCTAGTTACCCCAAGGGCATTTTTAGCTTGGCTCCATGTTTTTAGGTTAATTTGTAGGTTTTGAGGTTTCATGAATTTGACAGTAGTGTGAATTCAAATCCTGAAGCTATGGGCAGGTAAGCTCATAGAATTCTCAGAGAGGCCTCTTTTAAAAAATGTTTTGAAAATCAAAAGCACAGGCCAAGTCAGAAAGGCTCCTTGTGGTCTTCCTGGCCAGCAGGAGATTTTCTTTTCTTGTCTACCCTTGTGCTGAGAGTGTTGGTTATTGAAGGGCTTCAGTGTTGGTTATTGAAGAGCTTCAGCATTAGGTACAGCGCTCAGTTGTAACTTGATGTTATATGGGCTGAAGGCTTTGAGTGGCCATTAATATCTAAACTCCTTGTTGACTGAGACTGCTACCCTCCTCCCCACTACCCAGCCTCCTGCCCCATTTCACACTTCTGGTTTTTATTTTGTTGGGGAGGAGATTTCTTTTATTTTCTTGTTTAGGCCCTGAGGGATACGTTTTCCTATTATTTTCTTGTGCCCTTAGCCATATATTTAATAGGGAAGATGGTAAGCTCCTCTCTCTCTTCATAATTTTCTATGTAAATAACAACTAAAGGGAAAACACAGAGCATAAAGTTTTGAGGTTGTATTTATTTCAATATGGAAATCTTGTTTTCCAAACCTGCAGTGTCCAAAAGAACCTTCTGAATGAGGGGACCGTTCTCTAATCTACTCTGTTCAGTGTGGCAGGCCCTTGTCACATGTGGCTAATGTGTCTGATAAACTAATTCTTAAATATTATTTTAGTTAATTTAATAAAAATGGCAACATGTAATTAGTGGTTATTGTATTTAACAACACAGTTCTAAATGATAATATTTCTAGTCCCCTGGGTGGCTTTATGTACTGGTAAACTCGTGTTGTCTTGCAAATCTGACATTTTGGAGGATGTAAATATATTTGAGGATGAAATATTTGAAACGTGACTTCAGAATATATGTCACCACAGGCTACGCATGGTGGCTCACACCTGTAATCTCAGCACTTTGGGAAGCTGAGACGGGTGTGGCGGGGGGTGGGGGGGGGTGACCTGAGGCCAGGAGTTGGAGACCACCCTGGGCAACAAAGCAAGACCCTGTCTCTCTGATTTTTTTTTTTTTTTTTAATTAGCCAGACATGGCAGACATGGGGGTGTGTACCTGTTGTCCTAGCTACTCAGGAGGCTGAGGCAGGAGGATCACATGAGCTGTAGGAGTCTTCAGCTGCAGTAAGCTACGACTGTGCCACTGAATGTCAGCGTGGGTGACAGAGCAAGACCCGATCTCTAAACAAACGAACAAACAAACAAAGAACATATGCCACCACAAAACTATAGAGCCCATTATTCTGATAATCAGGTATTTCTTGTCTGATTTTTCTTTCTAAGAATTTTCAAAGATCTACAGTGATCAAGTTTAAGTGTACATTCTTCCCATTGCCAGTTTCTGATCTGAAAGTCAGAATATCACTTTCTGAAAGCTTTTTCAAGAGTATTTATGAAGTATTAAAGTGTTAAGAAATCCTGAGGATAAATAACAAGGAGCATAAATATACTATTTAGAATGCAACATAATATACTTAAGAGTTCAATTTGCCATATCTTTGAACTGAAAAGCTTACTGGAAACCTGAAAAATATGTACAAGTAAAAACATGAACACTTCATATGATTCACTAATAGCATTTTATGGAAAAAAAAAAAACAAACACCCAACCAGGTGCGGTGGCTCACACCTGTAATCCCAGCACTTTGGGAGGCCGAGGTAGGTGGATCACCTGAGGCCAGGCATTCAAGACCAGCATGGCCAAAATGGCGAAACTCTGTCTCCACTAAAAATACAAAAATTAGCCAGGTGTGGCGGTGCACGCCTGTAGTCAGTCCCAGCTACTCAGGAGGCTGAGGCAGAAGAACTGCTTGAACTTCAGTGGTGGAGGCTGTAGTGAGCAGAGATCGCACCACTGCACTCCAGCCTAGGCGACAGAGCAAGACTCCATCTCAAAACAACAACAACAAATAAGACAAAACAACAATAAAAAAACCCAAGTCTACCGCTCTAGGCTTAGACTGGGCTGATACCTGCATTTTGTTTTCTAACTTTCAAAGGGCATTGAATTATATAAAATATCTCTTTAAAAAAATTTTTTTGGCCGTAGGTAGAGATTAAGAAGGCTAAAGCAATAATGCATATGTGAATTACAATGAGAACACATACATACATATTTGAGAAGGCCACATAAGCCTGGCTGGCACATTTGGCCATTTTACTGGCTGGCCTTCAAAAATAAAGATTAAAAAAAATGTATCCAGATACAATTTCTATGTCCCTGTACAAAATTGATGCCAACAGGTTTGGCATTTTAGGAAGACACTCAAACAGATTCTAGAAAAAGAAGTCACTTCATAGGATGAACAGACTAGGTCACAAATGAAAAAGCTAAACATTTGTTTTTTAAAACTCACCACAAATTTCCAAATAAAACTGTTTGAAACTTATGTTCAGAGATATTTTCACTGTACTTACACGACTCGAAAATCTGTAAGAACCAAAGCCCCTAAATTCTACTGAACATATTTCAAACATTTTGCCTAACGAGAATTTTTTTAAACACTCTCAAAAAATTTTAAAAAGAAATTTTCTCTGTAAAGGATTTTCAGCATTTTGAATATGTACATTTTCTCAGAGTGTATGTAGCCCACTCTTCTCTTGATAATCTTCATAAAAACGTCTCAATGACTCAGGAATTCTAGGTGTCACAATGCTCAAGGCTTGAGTGAAATGTCTTTTCATGATGAAATTGGCTTGAATGTCTTCTTCCAGAGCCAGAAGAGCTGCCTCTCTGCAGACGGCTACAATCTGAAGTTTTAAAAAATAAGTAAATAAAAGGAGGTAGAAAACAAACAGTACTCTTTTAAAAACAATATTCTGAATCTTCATCTGTGGTGCCTTCTACATATGTCCATTGCTCAAATTTATCTACAAGAATGTCCACTCAAGTTTTCAAAAGGATAAAAGGTAATCATATAGAGCTTTCTATTCTTTCCTTCATCCCAAAGCAATGTATTAGGTACACAGAACCAGGAGTGCCAAAAGATATCTAAGAAGTGGCATTTGCTTTTAAGAGCATTTGCTCTTAACCATAAAGGTGGGTAGCTGTGCACGCAGATACTTTTAACACGGGATGGCAAAAGATGCATGTGTCTATGTGGCAGGGGGAGGCAGAAGCCAACGGTCAAGGGAGGGCAGAACGGGGAGATTTTCTGATACAGAGTAAGGCCTTGATCATCAACACACCTTGTCATAGCACAGAGTTTCCACATTCCTTTCAACCTTTGATGTATTACCAGCATGTAAAAGCATTTCTTTACGTGTATCTCTTTAACAATTTCTTCAATCTTGGGAATTTCAGATAGAGTTGTCAACATTTACTTTGGAGAGTTGCATTAGAACAGAGAAGTGAATGCTGTTTACTCAGCCCGGAAAGCTGGAAGAATTGAAAAGAATCTGGGGAGGGGGTGGAATGGATGCAGAGGGAGGAAGGAGGAGGCAGTAGGAAAACGGAAGGGGAGGAAGGTTCAAGAATCCCGAAATGTGTTTTTAAGCCCTCTGGACTTCAGACAGAGGAAGCAGGCTGATGCCAGTGTCATTCTAAAGACACATTACAGTGGTGAAAAGAGCTTGTGGGATGAAAAGAGATATTGTGATTTTCAGGGCAACAGGGAAAACAGTGATTGATATTGACTGCGCCCTTATATCGGTAAATGAAAGGGCCAGCTGAAACACATTTGTCCAGCCATTCAGCATATTTTCTCTGTTTGTTCACTCACTGAAAAGAGTTCCTCTGCTTATGCTGGGCTAATGGCTGCCAAAGCAGTTTAGTAGCTTTTTAGGGGATTTAGCAGCATGTTTAGGGAGCTTTGAAAAACATGCATAGATTTAGATGGCTTTGTCAAATTACGACAATGTAACTATTAGTTCTGGGCTTCATTAATGAGCACTGAAGTTAACTATAGTGGTTATGCATGTTAATGTTTTTCTGAAAAAAGAGAGTGGCTATCAACTTGTTGAAGGAAAAAACAAAACTTCAAGGGATTAGTAAAACCACTTTATCACATGTTCTGGTGCAAAAAAGAGTTCTTTTGAAAACAGGAATGTGATAATTAATAAGCACAGTAAAAGCCTGTGAAATGCTCAGCATGGTAAACTGGGCATTTCACAGGCTTTTACTGTGCTTATTAACTATCCATCCGATGGTTCCACTGTGCTCTAAGGAAACCTTGGAGATCTCTATAAAGGGAGGTGAAGGGACCAAGTGGGGAGAGCCCCCACCCACACCCCTCTGAGGAGCACTTCTTTTATCCAGACAAGAATTTGAAGCATTGGTTGCAAGGCTAAAAAGTCTGAAGAATCATTGAAGGAGCAAAGAGCACTACATTTCCTGCTGGGTGGTGGAGCTCTCTTTCTGTCTCCTGCACACCTCCCCCACCCTTCATAGCTGAGACTCCCTCAGGGATGTCAGAGCCTGGCACATAATGGCTGGAAACATTTATTGAGCATCTACTATAGGAGTGGACAAATACCAATTACTGTACTAATTCATTTGCTATATGACTGATATCCCCCTGTTTTTGCACAATGCAGTGAGAAGTATGCCTAAAGTCTGATGGAAACGTATCAAACAGAGTGACCAGATGAGCATGTGTACCGTGGTGGCTGGGGTGGGGGCTGGATAAATAGAGGGGGCTGAGAAAAAGAAAGGGTGCCTGGAAGCTCTCAAAGTTTCTAGGATTTGGTTCACATGGCCAGATGGGTGGTTTGCCCTGCTGGCACATCCGAGGAAGGGAACCAATTGTCAGATAGGCTTCCACCCTCAACACACAGTAATCAAACTGGCAAAAGAAGAAATGATTGTATTCTTTTAATTGCTGGAACCTCAGGGAGCCTAACAAAGCAAAATAAATGTAGGTAGTGGGAAGTGTTACATCATTAGGGCCTAGAAGGCTGTCCTTAGGGGCAGTATCGCTTGGCAATTTCACTTTCCTTCCTTCACATTTGATTCTACAGATTTTTCTATGAGCTATAATTTGTGTGTGTGTGTGTGGGGGGGGGGTAGCTTACATGGTAGTGACAAAGTGGATATTGGTGGTGAGTTACGGTCAGAGAAGTAGTGACCCCTTGAAATGTGGATGTTTGTAACTTAGAGCCTCTAGTGTATGTCAGTGATTGAGAAAAATTCCCCTACTATATCTAGTACTCTCCTAACTCTTAATAAAACAATTCCATCTAGCTTGGAGAACTATGAAGCTATGAGATATAGAACACTTGGACAGAGTTTTGACCAGATCACTAATGTTTGGATTAGATAGAGATGACCTAGAGAACCTCTGAGAGTTAATGAAAAGAGAAACATGGGTACCTAAAGACCTCATATAAAAGTGTCTTACTCTGCGTAGAGGAAGGCGTGTAGCTGTCTGTATGTCCTAGGGTACGAGAAACACTGAATTCAACACTTGCTTCAATACACATTACTCTGTTTCTTTTTATTTATAAATGTTCCAAAGAGCTAGTCAATAAGGTAATCTTTTTCTGTCACTCTTACTCTCCTATCACATTTACTTAGCAATAAACAGCCAGTCAGTAACTGAGGGAAACGTAAATAGGACACTACAAATAATTGGCCAGCCATTCTTTCGTCAACCAACATCCACTGAATAGCTACTGTGTGCAATAACTATATGAAGCCAGGTGGATGACGCAGGCATGTCTGGGACATAGCACTCCTCTTCCCATGCTCACAAACCAGTAGCGGATGCACAGAAGTGAAATGCTCTGTGTGCCAGTATATCAGAAGTACTGTCAGGGAGGCAAATGGAAAGGGCTTTAGTGTGGAGAGAAGGAATAAATTACAGCTTTGGAAACCAAAGTGTGAAGAACAGAACTGAGAGCTGCATACAGGTAAAGGAAAGGATTAGCAGGAACAAAATGAGCAGAGAAACAGGAAGGTGGGAAGGAAGAAAACATGGATTACATTGAACTAGCCTCAGTAGACAGAATGGAGAATTTTTTAAAAAAGAATAATTCTACCATCAAACATAACCAAAATTAACAATGATAGTGTTTTCAAAGTCATGAGGGCCACAATGACAGTGAAGGCTAGTCAGTACCAGACCTCTCTAAAGCTCTAAACCAAATCCACAAGCAGCTGATACACAAGCAGCTGACAGAGCGTAACTCCTAAAAGTTCCTTTTGTTTTTATTTTTTCCTCATGAAAAGGCTTCTTAGTAGAAATTCTAAAAGCAAAAGCATTGACTGGATTATTGGATTTTTTCTCCTAGCCCAAATAAAAAGGTAGATCTGGAAACAGATGTATTCTTAGGATATCCATGATGGCTGGTTTCTATCTGCTCTGGGAGCCACTTACTGTGGCATGAGTTCCAAGATATGATATAATACTTCCCAAGAAAAGTGCAGCTTTCCTGCTCATTTTCATGGCCCATGCCACCATTTCCCTGAAGAAATTAGTGTCTGTTCAGGAGAAGTATTCTATGGTCAAATAAGTTTTGGGCAACACTATATAGGTTGAATATTCCTTCTCTGAAATGCTTGGGACCAGACGTTACAGATTTTGGAATATTTGCATTCTGCTTATTGGTTGAATATCTGTAATCTGAAAATCTGAAATCCAAAATGCTGCAACGAGCATTTCCTTTGTGTGTTATGTTGGTACTCAAAAGTTTTGGATTTTGGAGCATTGAGGACTTCAGATTAGTGATACTCAACCTGTATATATTCTGTTCCCCATGGTGCACAATAGAATTTTAAAGGTTTTACAAAGGCTAGTGATGATCAGTTTGATTTTCTTTAACCCAATGTAATGGTCTGAATGTGTTTCTCCAAAATTTATATGTTGAAACTTAATCTCCAATGCTACTTACTAGTATTAAGAGGTGAGGTCTTTGGGAGGTAACCAGGTTGTGAGGGTTCTGTCCTCATTGACAGATTTAGTACCCTTATAAAAGAAGCCTGATGGAGCTGGTTGGCCCTTCAACCATGTGAGCACACAGCTAGAAGGTATGTCTACAAGGAATAGGCTCTCATCAGACACCAAATCTGCTGGCATCCTGATCTTGGACTTCCCAGTTTTCAGAAGTATGAGCAATAAATTTGTATTATTTATAAGTTGCCCAGTCTAAGGTATTTTGTTATAGCACCATAGTGGACTGTGACATTCATTGTTTCCTATAGAACACTTTCCCTCTCCCGTTTCTGGCAGAACATCTATACATGGTTTACTGGTGATCTATGGCACATAACTTTGGGAGATACCAAACAACTCACTCAGGGCACATTGTGGCTCTTGCCTATTAGCATAGCTTTTTACTTTTGCTCTCCCCTATTCCAAAATAGAAAAAGGAAGCGGGTGGAGGAGAAGGGGAGAAGATGGGGAGAGGCCTGAGACACAGAAGAAAGGCCAGTGTGTTTAATGGAGTCAAAGGGCAGCAACAGTGGCAGTAGCCAAACCACTGACTTGTGCTCTGGATATATAAACAGTCAAGGTATGTTTGCTGAAGAGTTACTTAACTACAGGCACATTTTCAAAAAGATGCATACTATGTGCATCTTTCCCAGATTTGGCCAATCTTCAGTATTTTTAGTTACTTATGTTTCATAAGATCTAGATAAGCAGTTCCCAACCTTTTTAGCACCAGGGACTGGTTTCATGGAAGACAGTTTTTCCATGGACAGGGAGTCACAGAGTGGGGGTGGTTTTGGAATGAAACTGTTCCACCTCAGATCATCAGGCGTTAGATTCTCATAAGGAGTGTGCAAGCTAGATCTCTTGTATGCACAGATC